GAGCTGGATGCGGAATTCCAGCGAGTGGGACCAGAAACTGTGTGCGCGTTTATCGCTGAGCCGGTAGTTGGTGCAGTGAGTACTCCACACCCAATCCATCAGTCGTCACCGTTTGTCTCGCATGCTAATCTCGACCTGCTGCGGCGTATAGGCCCTCGGCGCCGTCCCTGCCGTCCCAGGTTACTTCCCGGCCATGAAAGCCATCTGCGAGAAGTATGGCGCACTTTTCATTCTCGACGAAGTGATGAGCGGGATGGGTCGGTGCGGCACCTTGCACGCATGGGAAGACGAGGGTGTAGTCCCCGACCTGCAGACTATCGGAAAGGGACTCGGAGGAGGATATGCCCCCGTTTCTGGTCTTTTGATCGGCGAGAAGATCGTGCAGGCGATGGACAAGGGTACTGGTGTTTTTCGACATGGACAGACGTACCAGGGCCACCCCGTTGCTTGTGCTGCTGCGTTGGCCGTTCAAAAGACCATCACGGAAGAGAACTTGCTTGACAATGTGCGGGCTATGGGTGCTTACTTGGAAAAGCAACTCAGAGCGCGGTTGGACGCTCATCCGAATGTGGGGGATATAAGAGGAAAAGGGTTGTTCTGGGGGGTACGTCTCCATCTAGGTACGCGTGTCAAAGGGGAAATGCTGACTGACGCTGTTATAGATTGAGTTCGTCAAGGACAAAGGCACAAAGGCGCCTTTTGCTCCAGAGACTGCCGTCGCCTTCCACGTCCAAGAGACTGGCCTGAAGCCAGTCCATGGGATCTCCTTGTATGCAGCGAGCGGATGCGTTGATGGTATACGCGGTGACCATGTCCTTCTCGCTCCTCCTTATAATGTGACCAAGGAGGAAATTGATATCATCGTTGAGACGGCGGCTAAGGTGATTGAAGAGGTTTTTGCGAACATCGCCAGTGTCTAGAAGATAGTAATACCTACAGCAGTTAATTGTGCCTTTTGAGACCACTCGAGTGCCGGGATGGCACCATTTATGACCGTATTGAGATCAGATTGCATTCGTATTGCAGAATCTATATGTTCATTCAGAATTTTCAAAATGATAAATGACTTTCGCCGAGAACACCTCCTTGTCTTTGGCCATGGATCCTTCACTGTCAAAAGTATGAACTATTGTTACACATTAGGATGGAAAGACATTCAAGCCCTTGCCTCAACTTCAGTGCTCTTTGATAGAGCATCCTCCTTGATGCCTTGCGTCCCATTTGCGACGGGGGCTGACGGAGGTCCTTCTCCCCACATGCTCGCGACAGTCTCCACAGCCCGTTCAATGACCACGCGGACTCTATCTCTGAGCACGGCGTTTGCACATTCGACCTCGAGATTTTCGAGCCATACCCGGGCGACGTGTTTATCGACCTTGATCTCAATTCCAGGGTAAGGGATCCCAAGTGCTTGCAGACGAGCAAGTTCTGCTGCTTCAATTTCTTCCGTGCTCTCGCCCTCTTCATCCTCCTCGACGTCCTCCTGAGACTCGACAGGAGTCTCACCTGCGGCATTTGATTCGGTCTTGACGGCGGCTGATACCGACGGATCGCCCTTGGTTGTGCCGTTCGCACGAATACCAGAAGGAAGGCGCGGTCGTTCAATGGGTGCAATATCCGATCCAAATTGCGCCTCTAGCATCATGAGCAGATTCTCAAATCTCTCCTCAGGTCCTTGGTGGGCATGGGGATTAGGTAGTTCCAGGTCGCTATGATGGTGATGATGATGTTTGAGCTTTGCGGATTCTGCGGTCATTGGTCAGCATGGAAATCTTTCGTGAAAATGAGAAAAGGATCAGCATACGCTTCACTGATGCAGGACTACTCTCGACCGTGAGCAGCACCGCCATAACCGCGTCGGCAACACCGTCATTCATCATGTTTCCCTCCCACTCCAGTTCTACCTCACGAGTACGAGGGTGATAGCGGATGAGAACGCAGCCCATGACGAGGTATGTCTGCGTTCCCGCCATCGGGATCTCCTCATCTGCAGGCTCTTCTTTCATTTCGTGCTCTCCGTTGACGGCCTTTGTGGACTCTTCTTTGACCTCACCCTGCTCGCTGCTACCGAGTTCTTCAATAGCGCCAAAGGTACCCTCAAGTGCCCATCGGATAAGATCCATACTTGCAGAGCTAAGTGTGATATGCTGCTTGCATGTTATGGTCGTTGTTGTTAAACCAGCATACTCGCGGAGGTCATCAGGCGCCATCAGCGACAGATCAAACCCATTCTGAACCAAGACACCGGACATTAAACGGCCATCGTCCTGGTCCGAAGGAGGAGCGACTTGGGCTAATTTACCGACAACTTTCGCGACCTTGTCTTTTCTGAATGGGATGCGAACTTCATCGCAGTTCGCCGGAGTATAGACTTTAACTTTGACGGTTTTGTCGGCATTGAGACTGAGTAATTTTGACTTGAGTCGCATCATCTGATGCTTCTCGCCATGAACAAGAATCTAGGAGATATGAGACCACTGACTCATTGGTTAAGATTCAAGAGTTACTCACCACAACAGGCGCGGCCACCTCCTCGATAAAGTTACGATTCTCGACACCATCTACATGGGCCGCAAAGCTGATTTCATCCACCGTACATCTTCGGGGTATCATGATCTTCTGTTCCTCGTCGGTGCCGGCGAGCCCTCGTCGCGAGACTCCGCCCGCCGACCGTGACATCACGGCAGGTATCTGTTCAGGCTCGTTGAGCAGCTGCTTGGCCATTGTTCCCTCCACGCTGTATCCAGTCATAACGACGCCGTTACGTTCGTTCGGGGCCCATCTCTCTAACAGTTCCCTACTTGTTCCTGTTTGGAGCATACCCGGTGAAGCCAGCATGACGCATCCGCCTAAATCATCAAAACGTTCCAGACTCCGGAGACTCCTGACAAACTTGAAGTCCCAAGGCCCTGCACTGGCACTCTTGTCACCACTGGCTTCCGCCTCCGCCATGCGCTGACGAAACAGCCGTTTGATATTGTCGTTCATGGCGCCTATGTAGGTCTGATACACAACCATGCATCGTCTAGCAGTATTTCCAATGTAGTAGATGGGTATCTTTTGCAACTCGGGATGCGTTTCCCAATATTCGTCGAGAATCAGGAGCAACTCTTGAGCCCGCCCGAGAGCGAAAACTGGCATGAGGACCCTACCCCCGCGGTTCAGAATGCCCGTTATTGACTTCATGAGAGCCGCTTCCCGCTCAAGCCGCGGAGGATTCGTCGATATACCGAATGTGGACTCGGTAATCAGGACATCTATTTTGATGCCCTTTGGTACCTCTGCTGGGATAAGATGCCTGTCTTCTTCCCGAGAGTAATCACCGGTGAAAAGGATATTCAAGCCAGCTATCGAGACCAAAAACATAGCAGCCCCGAGCACATGACCGGCAGGGAAAGGCGTAATGCGGATGCTATTTATCGTGTGGGTCGTGTTGAAATCGATCGTCTCAATCAAAGGCAAGGTAGACAAGTGATCATGTTCAGTATACAGCGTGGTGCGTTGATCAGACGATGAGGCCGTATTGCTGACTCGCACATTATCCTGGATGAGCCATTTATAGATGGCTTTGGTCGCATGTGTCATGAACACTCGGCCTTTGAAATTCGTCTTGCTGAGGACGTAGGGAAGGGCGGAAGAGTGATCGACATGAAAGCTAAGATCCGAGAGTAAACTTATCAGCCAACTTTCTAAGATAGTCTAGAAGAGCCAGTAAAATCTAGGATGTCGGGGCGTCCTAGGCCTCCACCGTGCGAGCACCAATACCCAGATACAAACAAGAAACAGGAAAATTAACAGCAGGTATGTATTGTATTGTATGGCTCATGTACATGGATCTAGGACCGGTATCACTGAAGCAGAAGTGCTCTCCACAGACTGCAGCAAGGGCCCTGAAATGTCGACGCCCACGCGGCCTCTCTGGAGTGCGATGTACCATCAAGGGTTGTCGTCGGAAAAGCAAAGTATCAGATAGGAAGGAACAATCCACGTACTGGCTTATGAGAAGAATATCAACCGTACTCAGGTCGAACTCGTCAAAGAATGGGAGAGCCGAAAAACCTTCTTTCGCAGGATGCATGCCCGCATCGAGCTATATTGGCCATCAGCTAATTGTCGTCAAACAAGGAGGGAGATTGCACTACACACCATTACTGTTTTCCCTTTGTACTGAATGATATGGCATGACCGACCGACTTCATTACCTCCGCCTAAGCAGTAGAAAGCAAGTTCATCAGAAGGGTCAACGGGTTCGTCGTCGACGGCGGCGTTCAACGCCGACGCCTTGCGCTTGGTCGCCATGAGGTGAGGCCTAGAGTATGAGATGAGGGCTCAGTTCCACAGCATTGAGAGATGGGATCGTTGAGTTAGAAGTTGTTTAGAGTCGTGAGCCAAGCACTTCGGATCTTCAATCTCGAAAACTGCTTTGTTTTGTATCTCAAACAGCGCGAAATAAACCGGCCATCGAGTACCGTACAATGGCAAGACTTTCAGAATTGCAAAGAAGATAAAGTAATCATGGATCAATGCACAAAGATGATTCAATCAATGATCTCAACTTCTGTCACACACAGCTGAACCATCCTTCAATCATGATGGTCTTTTCGCTCACAACCGCTTTGAAAGAGTGAAGCCGCAGGTTCTCTTGTTCCCCAGAGATTCTGCTGACATATCATGCACGTGACCTGGAGCTCCCTGTGCGGGATCCTGAGCAAGCAAACCTCGTCGAGTAAAAGCTCCCTTCCCATCCGCGAGCAACACATTTTAAGTCAGTCAACCACCACAACCTCGATCCATAACCTGTTTCGGCTCTCCAGGCGGCGGCTTCCCGCGATTTCATGTCGACCTCAGCGTCCTGAGATGGTTACGGCTGGCGGCGGCGGCGGTTCGAGCAGTCCGCTCACGTTTTCAACTCACGCGCGGACATCTTCATAGTCGCGACACATTCTCGATACCTGCGACATTTCTATCTGCTGGCTTGAGGCTCAAGCATTTGGCTCATCATGGCGCAAACTCAGCCTCAGCAGTTTGCTCAATCAATGTCTCCTCCTGTATCCTCACCTTCACCTAGTGCACCGTCCCCGGTCAATGGAGGCGGCATCCCTCCACCGTCTGAGCGACAGCGCCTTTCTCCTCTTCCGCAATCCCAATCCCCCTACGCATCTCCCAGCTTTGGGACTTTGCAGTTACCGTCAAATCAACCAACTCCAACTTCCATGAATGGAATCAACATGAGTGGGATGCCTCAAACACCCGCCCCGCCACCACTCCCGGGCACGATGGGGCCACCTTCTCGGCCGGTGGAAAAGGCGACAGATGCTGCCGAGTTAACAGATGTTCTGGCGTCGTCTGGCATTGATGTTAGAGAAGAAGAGGCCTTTCTCACGAGTAGTTACTCGGCTCCAGGTGTTCAAGCGCAACAACCCTTAAGAGTACAACAACCACCGCCACCGCAACAGCAACCTCAACTAGCCCTCAATACCTCTTTCGCCTCCCAAGCCTCTACTACCGGGACAATTTCCACCACCCCCAGTTTCAGCGAACCGTCCCAGTTCAAGCCGCAAACCACACAAGACTCTTTCTACACCGAACCGGCGTCGCAACCACCTGCGCCGTTCAAAGACCCCAATGAGCCGACACGAGAAGACACCGAAGCAGCCAGACGCGCGCAATATCATCTACAAGAGCCTTTCTTACTGACGAAGGTACTGGAACAAAGGCTACAGAGACGCGGCTTTGAACTTGGTGTTCGCATACCGGCAGAGGGCTTATTTCATCCCGTACCAGGTCGTCCGCAGCCTATTGAGGTTACTGGACCGGATGGTTCGTCCATCGTGCGTACGGGGAAGACTATCCTAAACCAGGAGGGGGCTCCTTTGGTTGATATATTGAATTTAATGTCGATTGCGTGCGAGGAACGGTTGCGCACAGTGGTTGACTATTCCTCGACACTCGCGAGAAGCAGGCGAGCCCATTCCCATGGAAAGGTTCCTACCGAATGGAAGGACCTCGCGGAATCATCTGGCTCAGTGAACGGTGGTGTGGACAACCCTCAGACACCACTCAAACGTAAGCATCAAATTCAGATCAGATGTTTTCCGGATGCTAACAAGCACGAAGGGCCTCATTTGGCGACTGACCCAGCGGCGACGTTAACTGAGAAATATCGTTTACTCATGGAGAAGGACGTGTCCAGCGAAGAGGCTCGTGCCGCCAAACGCGCAAAGCGCAGTGCAAACGCTATACTCGGGGAGGGTGTTTTGCCCAGAGCGGACTCTGTCGACGTGCCAGGTTCCGGTGCATCGACTCCAATCGCAGAAAAAGCCCCGAGCCTCGACAAGAAAGGTCTGTCGAAGAAGGAAGCAAAGAAACTGATGGATGCAAAGGCCAGCGAGGCTCAGCAACATCAGCAATCTGTGGAGACTGCCCGATTAGCCACGAATAGCATGCTGTCGGGCCGTATGTTCGGAGCCAAAAAATCATACTCATGGCTGAATCGAGGCTCGGCTACTCCCAGTGGCTTCGCCACTCCGTCACGAGTCAATACCGCACCTCACACTACTGGCACGGAAAAGACTGGCCGCACTGGAGAGCCAGCTCCTGTCCCTACTAAACACCTCGGGACTTGGCGGGAAGACAAAGCGAAGGGTGCTGGAATTCAAGTCCGCGATATCTTGTTCATGCTCGAAATGGATGGCAGAGGCTCCCGGCATGTGCAGAAGGCCTATTCCAAGGACATCAAAGAAGACCGGGCGGACTAGTTCGTTCAGCTCACTCTCATATCTAGTTGTCTGTCACCAAGATAAGTGGCAGAGCTTGTAATTGATCTATGTTTCGAGCTCCGCGCAGTTACTACGCAGGTTCGTCGTTATTGGCGTTGCGGTTCACCTTCCATTCAAATGGCATGTTCTGCTCTTCGAGGCATAGGTTTTGTGTCTTATGTATGCATTTTTATGAGGCGATACAGGGGCACTGCATTCTACTCTGTTCTTACTCAGATCCCATAAAATGATTCGATCACCTTGGAATGCAGAATCGTTATGTTGTTATCGAACTACCTAGCTTATACCCTTTCATGTAGAATCAAGCAAAATGTCATGAAATTTCCGCGACGGCATACGATTATCAATTGATCCTCTGTGTCCTATCCGCGCTTGCCTTCCATTGCCAGCATGAAGCCTAACACGACCATTGCTTGCCGCCTTATCTTGCGCCTTGACGAGGCTAATCAGTATCTGGAAGGATACAATCATCACGAGAAGTAAGCACTCTGATCATTCTCAATATCTCGAGTCTCTTCGTGTTTGAAAAACAGTGCATATTGCAAGATCGATCCAGACAAAGTGGATGCAGTAAATATCTATTACTACTAGTACTTAGCTTGAGTGAAAGTCACTAGATCTACAGTTGATATGTGAATCTCTCAAGCCTCGGAGTTAGAGATCCGAAGCCCCGATTTGCAACCTTGAAGACACAAGAGATGGTAGAATGGGACATACAAGTAGTATAGACCACAAAAGCATGAAATCATGGTTCCTTACATATTTCGCATATATCCTTAGCTTGCCATGAAATGCATTCAGGAGCCACTGATGAATTATATGATGTCAGTGTAGTAACCATAGGGGTAGGCCGAAAAGTGGAGGGGCCAAGAGGGTTCACACTGGAGGGCTGGCACCATGTCCAAAACGAGTTAGTGTATGAGAGAAACGCATGACATATGCTGATCAGTCCCTACGGCGGGCAGCATCTACCATTGGTGCAGTTGCTATGCCATCGCCACAGCGATTCCATTGACCCTCACAATGAGAATGTTCCAGGGTGGTAGTGAATGCTGGAGTAACAGAAAGAAAATGAGCCTGTCTCGACTGAGACGTACTCTCGGACATGGTTCTTCAGAAAACCCCGCTTTGGGTGGCTCAAGATCAGACACGACGCAGCCATTCTGGTCCCAGGCGGTCAATCAGCATCGCATTCACATTATTCATCTGACGCTATGGGCTCCGCCGGTGTTGCCCCCGGCGGATTTAGATGGCTGAATTAGATGAGCCTTGCGATCTGCGCCATTTGCTTACGCGAAGGATGCAACAGGACCTTGTAGACAGTCTGAAAAAGGCACAACCAGCGAAGCAAGGATAGATAGTTTCTTCGATTTCCTCATTGCCTTTGAGGAAAAGCATCATTACAGCGCAGTACTGAAATTCTTGGGTAAAGTCTCCCAGCGCTGCCTGTGTGTAGGACCATAGCCGAGCAAACCCTCGCTTTTACAACAATGCACGAGCGGCGAGGCGCCATTGCCATTCCTCAGTATTATTGCCCTATAGATCTTGCTGTTAGCAGTCTGGAATAGTCCTCTGGAGCCGTAGTCAGGAGGAATAGGACTATAACCAATCTCGACAGTATCTCCATTCCGGCCGCGCGCTCGCTCTGTCCGCCAGAAGCGAAGTCTACCCTCCATCCCCTCCCAATTTCTCGTCTCAAGCACACGTTTCTACATCATCATCATCGCCGTCGTGCCTTTACTGCTGGATAGATGTTCTCCGCCTCAAACCAATGCTGTTTTAATTTTCTGTTTCTCACTGCTGAAAAGCAACTGAGACGTTCTGAATACCACCGAACATTTCCCCCGACCGACCGCCTCGCCCAGTCGTCATCTCCACGCATCGACACTTCTCTGCTCGTTGAGAAGCCCGTCCTCCTCTTGTTCGCTTTCCACATATTCTTTCTCGCGAAACTGCCTGCCTTGCTGTCGATCAAATAATCTGGGATTTGTATTTGGTTTGAGAGATTCAATTTCAAAATATACGCTGGGTCTCCGGCCTAGTCATCGAGTTGATCGAACGGCTCACGATCAACCGATCGGATACGTTTGACTCTCCTTTCTCAATCCTTTTTCTTTCCTACACCATCCGACACTCCTACAATCAATAGGAGTGCCTCAGATCATCATGTCTACACCCTCAACGGCCACTGCAACGCATCCTACGCACCACCAACAACACTACGGATTTCCTCATCACCACGCCTACCAGCCAAACGCCTCCTTTCCCGTCACAACCGCTACAGGGACTGCTCGCCTAGCCACCGCATCCTACCCGTACGCCGCCCCTCCTTCGACCGCACCCCTTCCTTATAACCAATCTACGAAAATGGTACAGCCTGCCTCCACCCCAGCAGCCATTCCACCGACTCAGAGCGAAGTCAGCACGGGCACAGCCGGGTCCGACCAAAGCAGAAGGAAGAAGAAGCCCGACTGGGGCGAGTTCTATAAAAATGGCCTTCCCAAAGAGGTCATTGTGATCGATGATACGCCTCCTCCAGAACAGGACAAGGGGAAGTCCCGTACCACTGCGGCAGCAGCCTCGAACGGCGGCATGGCCCAACCTGCGGGCAAGAAAAGGCGCACTGGAATTGAATCAGCCTATGACCTGGGATACTACGATCGTCCATCATTTTCCACCATTCCTCAGCAATACGGTGAAGAGTCCTCCGCAGCCTCCATTTCTACAGACCGCACGACTTCCCTACATACAACCGCTCCCACATCCCTGGGTTCGCAGGGCAGTACGGGTGCTACCAACGGTGTGTATTATGAAGACGCCAATGTTGGCCAGAAGCGGAAACGTGTGACAACACGCAAGTCAGCCCGCGATGAGCAGAAACGGCGGGAATTGGAAACTGCTGGTGATGCATTCCTCAGCTACATCCCCCCTCCCAAACCACCGATCAAGGCGAAGGAAGTCCCAGTGCCTGTTGTTCGAGATGTGAGTGTTAGCGGTTCTGTATCTGGATGCGCTCTCTAACACTCTCTGCAGTATGGAAATCGCCATGAGAAGTATGACGATGACGACGGTCACTACATTGTGACGCCAGATACGCCATTGACAGATCGATGTGAGTCTTCGTACCAGTTGATTTGCCTCGCATGGCAACAGATGCTAATTTTTCAGACTCAATCATCAAGCTTCTAGGACAAGGTACATTCGGTAAAGTGGTTGAAGCATATGACAAGCAGCGCAAGACTCGCTGCGCAGTCAAGATCATTCGGTCGATACAGAAATACCGTGACGCGTCCAGAATTGAACTTCGGGTTCTGTCGACGTTGGCCTCGAATGATAAATCGAACCGAAACAAGTGCATTCATTTACGTGATTGCTTCGATTTCCGAAATCATATCTGCATTGTTACGGATCTTTTGGGCCAGAGTGTCTTTGATTTTCTCAAAGGCAACGGTTTTGTGCCCTTTCCCAGTAGCCAGATTCAGAATTTTGCTCGGCAGCTATTCACGAGCGTAGCCTGTAAGTCACCCTGCGGTTTTCTCTCGTCTCTGGCTAGTTCCATACTGACAATTTCAGTTCTTCATGACCTTAACCTCATCCATACCGATCTGAAACCCGAGAACATCCTCCTCGTCAGCAACGCGTACCAGACATTCACCTACAACCGAACGATCCCATCCTCTTCACACGCAGTTTCACGGAATGCCCGTCAGCGACGTGTGTTGTTGGACAGCGAAATCCGTCTCATCGATTTCGGGTCTGCCACTTTTGATGATGAGTATCACTCGTCGGTGGTATCCACGAGACATTACCGTGCTCCCGAAATTATCTTGAATCTAGGCTGGAGTTTCCCGTGTGATATCTGGAGTATCGGCTGCATTCTGGTCGAGTTCTTCACCGGAGATGCCCTGTTCCAGACGCACGACAACCTAGAACATCTTGCCATGATGGAGGCGGTTATTGGCTCTAAAATCGATACGAAGCTGGTAAAGCAAACAACCCAGGGAGGCCGAAACGGAAGTCAGAACCAGGCGGCCAAGTACGTTCCGAGCCATTATGCTTCTGTGAGGACATTGATGCTGACTTCAGCCCAGGTACTTCAACCGAAACAAACTGGACTATCCTAATGAGGAAACGACACGAGCCTCGCGCAAGTATGTGAGGGCCATGAAGCAGCTTACTGTAGGTTTATTTGCGAGGATCCCTTTTGACAACAGCCTCTAACGAACCGCACAGGACTTCATCCCCACCAGCACTACATTCCATCGCTTGTTCCTTGACCTTCTTCAACGGATATTTGTCTACGACCCCAAGAGCCGTATCACTGCCAAAGAGGCTCTGAAGCACCCGTGGTTCAAGGAGTCTCTAATTGATGATGGCACCGAAGCTCTTCGCATCGGTCAACAGTTGCAACGCAACGGCGGTCAACGCAGCTAGACATCTCAATATTTAAAAAGTGGCAACATCGCTGGTACTCTCGTCTCGGGCACGTCCGGATTTTAATAGTTGCAGCCATGACCGTTGTCTAAGGATACGCGGCGTTGAGGACTCTTTCTTTTCTTGGATAGTGTTGGTTGACGTGGCCAAGCTTGAGCAGATGTTGCGAAGTCCACGACGGCTACGCTACCTTGCCCACAGGGCATATTCTACGCACAATATCTTATGTGACCACGGAGTTTGGTGCTTAACGCGAGGACTATGGGATGCAATTTGGCGGACTTCAGTTACGTGGACAAGGGCCCGTCTGTGATTTATGATTGTTTCGAACCTGAAGAAATCAGCAGAAAAGAAAGAGCAAGGGAACTCGAACTCCAAAGCATACCCTGGAGTCAGCGATTACTGAGGACATATATGTTTTTTTTTAATCATTTTTAAGGGTTATATCCTGGATTTATGGGCTTGCGTGGACGGCTTTTTATTTTATCTTATTTTTTCCCCTTCTTCAATCATCCATTCAACCTTTCCCTTCTTGAGCAGCGGGATGGTTTATCCATCACCATACGCGCATTTTGTCTATTATTTTCCATTACTTCTGGGCGCCGGTGATAGGATACAGGCTTACTTTACATTTGCATGGGGCTATGCCTCAATCTGTCTTCTTCGACTTGATTTACCACTCCTTTTTACTCGACTCGGTGTTCTATTTAAGCGGCGTACTCAACTCAGTATTGGCAAGCTTTCAATAGGAGCGAGTGTTTGGCACAGATAAGATTTGGCAAACAGAGCATTATTTGGGTTCGAGTCAGTTATAGCCGACATGATACAGTTGCCGTCTACATGGATCTGCCATGGATATATCATTTTCATGTATATCGATTTTCATATATCTAGTGCTTACCGTTCTATGGTGCAGCGATATTGGCGCAGCTGCACTGATAGAATGAATGGATAAAATCTACCTTCTCGTTTGATGCAGCTGTCAACCCAGCCAACACCATCAACCACAGCTTATCTTCGTCTTGGTTACAAGACGGCATGCGTCAGCCTTCATCCAGGATAGCGCGTTGCCCCTCTCGCAATCAGCCATTGTTATCAACCCGGGGACGCCACACCACTCCGAGAGTCCGTCTCCGCAACTAGCAATCAACAGTCGCACTAGTTGATCCATGCTCCAAGCCTCCAAAGGAGTTGGAGTAAGTGGGGTTCACGCAATTGAATACTCCGTAAAGACTATCAGTTCCAATTTGAGCGCGATTGCTGATATACATGGTCTGGAATAATAGGATGCTGCGGTTCGTCTTCGGCCGAAGACGAAGACATACTAGGAAGGATGGGGATACCGGGTCATGGAAGACATTGATGTGAAGCACAACGACGGACTAATAGAGAGGTAGCATGACGCTACCTAGTTGAACTCAGTCCACCGTAATCCGATAGACGATGCAAATTGCTGACCCCAACTCACTGATCAATAGTCCCTGTCCTCAGATATACACTACCCCTCATTGATGGGCGAATTGATATATACCCTTGCGTGCACTTGAATATGCAAATGGACTGATTTCACGCTCTTTAAAGGAAAAGGGAGACATGGGCAGCATAGGCTCCATTGACGTCAAAGAGCTTACGATATCAAAGTATCATGATGCTCTACGAGAGGGGAGGACGACCTGCGCCGAGGTGGTCTTAGCATACCTCGATCGAATATCACTGTATAATAACCTGCTCAAAGCTCTGATAACTGTCAACAAGGATGCACTTGACGTCGCCCAACAAAGAGATCAGGAAACAGAGGCACTCCTACAGCAACATGGGAAACACCATGCCTTCCCGCCCCTTCATGGGGTCCCCGTCATCCTTAAAGACACCTACAGCACCATCGACATGCCCACAACATCCGGAGTAAAAGCCCTCCACTCCCTACAAACAAAAGACGACGCCTTCGTCGTTACGAAGCTGCGTCGTGCTGGCGCTATTATCCTCGGCAAGGCCAATCTCCACGAACTTTCGCTGGAGGGCGTCACTGTTTCTTCGCTGGGAGGTCAGACGCGGAACCCGTACGACCTCAGTCGGACACCCGGCGGCTCGTCAGGTGGGACGGCTGCTGCTCTAGCAGCGAATCTGGCTCTCGTAGGCTGCGGCGGGGACACGATGAATTCGCTACGCTCGCCTGGGTCGGCGTGCTCGGCCGTCGGATTTAGGCCGACGAGGGGGCAGATTTCGCGGAGAGGCATCGTCCCTGTCACTGAGACGCAGGATGTGGCTGGGCCGATGGCACGGACAGTGCAAGATGTTCGGGTGTTGTTCGATGTGATGAAGGGCGAAGACGAGGGCGACGAGGCTACTATCGACTGTCAACGTAACGCAATGGAGAGCGCCTCTCGGATATGTGGTGGCCGCAAAAGAATTGGCGTGTTGAGATCGTTCTTCGCGGATGACGGTGACCCTGAAGGCTCAATTGTCAATCAAATAGTGCTGAACGCGCTGGATAAAGCCCAAGCCAACTTGCAAGTTGAACTCGTCACGCTCTCACACCAGAGTGCTCACTGGGACATTCCCGCGCTCGTTTCCACGGCGGACATGCAAGCATACGAGTTCCGTAGTGTCTTCGACACCTTTTTGCAATCGCCATTGATCGCCTTCACGCCACATGCATCACTAGACTCTGTCGTCGCCAGCGGCGAGTACCTCCAAGAAGCCGTGACACCGGTCCTCTATCGCACATTGCAGAAGGACGGTCCATATTCAATGCAAAGTCCAGAGTATGAATCTCGCTTGGCGACAATTGCAGCATTGAAGAAATCTGTAGAGGATTGTTTCGAGGAATATCAACTGGACGCTCTCGTCTACCCGCACCAAAGGCAGCTGGTCGCTTCAATCGGTTCAATGGTCCAGCCACGGAGGAATGGTATTCTGGCAGCGCTGACAGGAAGGCCAGCGATATGTCTACCTGGTATGTGAGTTATGTGAATATGTGCCGTGGAGGAGCCACTAACCATGTCCAGCTGGTTTTAGTTCTCATACCGAGTCGGCTCCTCTGGGTGTACCAATCGGTTTGGAGCTCATGGGCAAACCATGGCGAGACGACGACCTGTTGGACATTGCAGAGCAGTTTGAGAGAGTCATCCAGGGCAGACGGCCGCCAGATCTCCCCATCTAACCATTCTATCGAGTATATATACTCAAACAACATGGTATAAACAGAAAGTAAACTATAATGCTAACACCTATAAACAAAGGCCACACATGCCGTCCCATCCTCATCCGCAAACTCCTCCACAGCCTCAAACCCACACTTCCTCAAAACACGCATACTCGGCTCATTCCCCTTGTCCGTGATAGCAACCACCTCCGCGCTCCTCTCCTGCTGCACATCCCCATCCACCCAATTAATCCTCTCATAGATCCCCGGCCACGCACCCATCAAACCCCTCACAGCTTCAGTCGCATACCCCTTCCCCCAGAAGTCCGGGTGGAAGACATACCCCAGCTCCCAGCGCTTTCCCCCCAATGCCTCAACAAGCCCATAGCGCAAGCCAATAGAAGCGATAATCCGGCCTGTTGCCTGTATTAGTCTGCGCCCACACATAGATATACACATGCACCCAAAACAAGACATGTAGAACCGAAGTCGAACTCACCTTTCCCATCTCCATCTCCCCCTTTAACCGCCACAGACGATTCAGACACAGACCCACTCTCAATCTCCCGAATCACATAACCCACGTTCCCAGGCACCCGCTGCTCCGGCCGCAGGTACTCCTCTACCCATTTACTCGTCGTCGCGAGATCCGCATCAGGGACCTTTTTGTGACTATCTTGTTTCAGCAACCATCTCCTCATTCTCAATCAGATTGATTGATGGGAATGAATGATATGATATGAATACCTCCATTTCATGACCTCCTCTAACCCGCGGATGGCGTGGATGCCTGCCGCGTCGGCGTCGACCATTGCGTCAAATTGTAAGCGGGCGGTGCGGAAGGGTGGGGATGATGAGTTTTCCATTTTTCTGGACTGGATTGGAGTAATTATTGTGAGGATATGGTTTTGGATTCGGTGGGTGAGAAAAAAAATATATATATTTTGTTGTGGGTGGTGATAGTGAGTCATCGGTTATTAATTTGTGGTCAGCATCAAGGTGAGCCAGTAGACGGATGGGGTTGAATATTCTACAGAGTGCAAAGGTCACGGTCATCGAAAGCAGTGGTATATTTGTGTATATATAGATGGTCTATACGCTAAGCAACATGATATCAACAATCCATGTGTATGCCACAGGACGAGGGCTTCTATATTCAGATTCCCGCCCCTGCCAAAAGGAAACGGAGAACCAACGCAATGCTGAGAGCGTCAAATACGATGAGTCCCAATCCACCAATCTACATACCCCGGTTGAATTCAACCTGCCCGTCTTTTCCTCCCCGGCCCCAGAACTCCTCTTCCAGAGACTGGGCGCTGATTGCCTGTCGTTGAGGGAACGCTCCCAGGGCCAGCGGAAGAGCAAACAGCGATGTGGCCAGGATCAGGCCCAGATTGATCGGCGTAATCATGCGCGGACGAGCCTTGAGCCAGGCCGTCTTCTCCAGCCTCACAAGGATCAGAGGCGGTACCACCATGATAGGCGTAGCGTTCAGTACCCGACTGATGGCCGTCTCCCCGACCGCAATGGTGGCGGCCTTCTTGCTCTTGCCCAGACTCTGGACCGGCTCACCGGTCTCCTCGCGCTTCTTTTTCTCCTCCTCCGAGAGGACGGGGTAGACATCAATGCCCTGGCGGATCTCCTCACCACGCATCAGGAACACGTTGAGCGCACTAGCGCTGGAAACTGCAGCAAATGGCACCAGACGGCCGAGAATGAGTTTTGTGTTGGGAGAAATGTTCTTCAGCCGAGGGACCAGCGCGTTGAGACCCAGGGCCACCGAGCAGGACGCTGATACCGCCATTAAGTATGACTTGGCCATCTGAGAGACCGACAGGGGAGTCGACTTGTTCGCATTCGCATTGTTAATGGCGACATTGAGCGACTGGTTGGCGATTTGCCACAGAAGCGTTCCGGTAGTCTATACAGTCAGTGACGCCGCCTCCGATTCAAGAGTCCGATGTTTCATACCCGCAACCCTGGTGTAAGCATGCCCGCCGTCACCACCAGGTTCGAAAGAACGTAGGCCGACATGCGGAAGGGAAGGAAAACCGGTTCGCCAGTGTCTTGATATGCCAAAGTTAGCCACCCAACACTTATATTAAGCAACCAAAGACCACAAACACACCTGGATGCAATGTAGAGTCCACCACCTTCTTCGCCCGCCATAACTCGGGAGTCATAACAGGGACATGATTCTGCTTATAAGACGAGATAAGGTGCTTCGCTTGTTCTAGACCCGACGAGGATACGAACAACATCCTAGGATACATGTCAGTTGGAATACAGCAAGTTGAGACAGGCTGTTGGAATGCTCACCTTGGATCAGAGATATCTGCCGCATGGCGCACACGACCCCAGTAAGTGTTCAGATCATACTGCGACGCGGGAAGGTCTCGGTTGCCGGGAAGTGACGTAGACATGGCTGCAAATCAAAGAAAGACAGTCAATACTAAGAACGACAGACTAAAAAAGAGAAAAAGAATGAAGCAGGGCTGATGTTGAGCAGAAGGCGCTGGGGAGGAGTCACCGACGGAAAGCGAAAATAATTGATCGGGGAACCACAAACGCTATCAAGGGCGGTGAGCCGATAAGCGGGGGATTCGGCCAATCATACTGCATCAATTGGTATGGTTCCCTTAATTGTGTTACCGCCTTCCGGACAAATGTAGGACAAACAAATACAAGTGTGGATTACTACATCGGGGTACAAGGGCCAGATGTAAGGGTTCATGAACATGATTGAACAGAAATGCTAGATACAGTAGTACATAGGTATCACTTAGTGGGGCAGACAAACCCCAACACATATTGAAGCAAATAGGGAATAAGTTATGACAGTAATCACGACTGTGATACATTGACATCATGCCAGTACAGACTGGGTATGCAGGATTGGTGGAAACTGATGCACTCCAGCAAAAATGGGGTATGTCTAATGATTCTGATAAAGCGACGGACAAAAGAGACATTAGGAATGGTCCGAAAGGTCGAAACAGTGGGTCTGGAGCAGCCTTTCAAAGAACAGAGGGCTCTTGTTGACGCTAGTCATGACCACTGACTTCGTATTCATGATGATTACATGATAGTAGAGAGACATAAATGTCCCATTCAGTTGAAATGTGAGAACCGGAGGAATTACCGGAATCGGAAGGATTTATGAGCCAGAGGTGAAGTTGGCGCATCTTCGGTGGCACTGACTGGACCTCGAACCCGGTTCTTCCGAGTCGGTGTTTGGGCACAAAATACACACACATACACAGACGGCAGATTCGACCGCTCAAGTCCGACACACTTGGTATGGAGCCAATGGTTGCACGATTCGCTGTGAGGGGTTAGCAAAGATGACAAAGAACAAAGCTGATATTCGCTAACCATTGGATCATGAGATGGCCACCATTGTCCATGGACTGGCAAACACATCTGGTGCCATTGCTTGGGTTGCTGTAGCGTTCAGTGGTCGGAGTTGCGAGGTCAGGGTCTGTCATGGTGGTTGGGGAAGTGTTAGGTGGCAGAGAATTCAAATCAAAATCCGCACCGAAGCGTGGGGGAGACGAGCGTAGATGCGCAAAGGAGAGTGAGGACCTATTGGACCGTGACCCATAGCCGATTGTCTGGGACCGTGGGAGTCGTCCTCTCCCTTCGAGAACTTTTCGGAGTGCGTGTTGGGCATCGCCAGAATCATCTTCATTCTCAGGATGGAGTCCCGAGGGGGTTCCAACGCTAGGGAATGTGAGATCTGAGTTTATCAGCATCGACTGCCGCTTGGGGGTCGTCCTATTCCACTCATCCGCTCGGTACACGGGCCGTCTCGCAGGGACTCGAGATGAACTAGCCCAGGGCGATGCTCTGCCAGACTGGGATGACGCAGCAGTGGAGGTATAGGAGCCCTTCGAATGGGGCCGGGAGCCGGAGTCACTGTGAGCCACTGTAGGTTCGCCGACGTCCGAATATGCGAAGGACGAGTTGCGGGCAGGAACAGTTGGATACTCGGAAAGATCGGCAGAGTCGAATTCATTCTCGGTTGCGAATCGGTCGATTTCCATTCCACTCACAGGGTCCGTCAGGCCAGTCTCAGCAACAGTTTGCATTTCGGTCTTTGCTCTACCGTCCTTGCCTATTCTTAAAATCACGGACTGAGAGCGAGTAGGAAACGCAGACGCAACCGTATTCGCTCTGGTGAGTTGTTGGCGGAGGGGTTTGATGGGGGAGGACCGTCCCTTGGACGGGCTTTTGCGAATGCCACTGCTAGAAGCCATCATTCCAGACGCAGACTGCCCCGATACGGAACGTTGAGGAGGAGCATTTATAGCAGCATGAGTCACACTGCGAGTGAGCCCCGGCCGGGATCGACGAGGAGTAAAATCATCATCATCATCGTCCTCCTCCTCGTCGAAACCTGTGAGAGAATGGTTAATGCTCTGCGCACGGCGAAGCTCTTCTCGCTTGAATTCCTCAGTCTGATGGTGATATGGTTGTCTGGATTGCTTAGAAAAGAGTCTCTTATCCGGGCTGAGCTGAGGGCCGCCGAAACGGCGGGCTGGTGACGAGAGAAACAAAGCCGGATCTTCGGCCTTGGCTATAGGAAGACGGGGCGAAGTGGAGAAAGGAGCAGGGAACAGGGCTGCATCGGAAGGAGCAGCAGAGAGACTATACGTGGGACCGTGAACTTCGGGAAGGTCGAGGGTGGCGTCGATAGCTGGTAGTTGCGGGATTCGAGCGTCCTGCAACGTTTGATTATGGTTCTGGTTGGTAGAAGTTGAAGCACTCGAGCCGAAGGGGTCCATGTTCATGCTGTTCCCAGACAAACTCAGGCTTCCCCCCTGCTGCTCGATATCATTGTCCCAAAACAACCTCTGCTGAGGAAAGAAAGGCGAGGCAGACGGATCAATCGCAGCCAGGTCGAAAGGGTCTGGAGAGGACTGGAGACCCGCAAAAAACCTGGGCGAAGCACCCAGTAAGCGGCTAGGGGTCTCCAGATGACCACCATGCGGAGAGTGCTTTCTGTTCGTGTCGATGACATTGTCCAACCCGGTTATTTTCCTCCTCGATGCACTGCTTGGGGGTGGAGTTTGCATTGAAGCAGCAGACTTTGCAGAGTCTACGGTCCGAGGACCGTCCTCGCCTGAGCCACCATTAGGTTTTGTGGAACATATCCTTTTGGCCGTATCAGTCTCCTGTTCGAAGCCCTGCAAAGCATCCCCCCCTCCAGTTCGACCGGGGACCGTGTCTGGCAGTCGTAGTGGGTTCGAAGGGGTACTCAAACCGAATCGCTGGGGTGTTCGAAGGAACTCCGGACTCGACGCATAAGGATCTGATGTGTCCCAGGTAACTCGAGGGTCGAAAAAGCTAGATTCGAGCTTGGGGGTCTGAAAAGCGGAATCACCGAACACTGTAGTTGTAGGAGTCCTCGTCGGGGTCTGAGGTTCGCCGTTTGGATAGCTGAAGCTAAACATGATCGAAGGCTCTGTCAGTATCATCTTCTCACGAAACCACTCTGGGACGGAGTCCATAGCATAGAGAGTCAGGCGGTTCCGCCGAGCAAGTTTTTATTGTATGTATCAAGCAGTGATGAATGGGGGGGGGAAAGGGCAAGTTCGTGATAAAGCAGCGACTAACGAGAGGCACACACAATGTGAATTCACCCCGCCAGTGCCAGCAGAGAATTCACAGTTTGTAAGGAGAGATAGTGGTATGTGCATAGAACACTTGGAGAGGCATACCTGTGGACAGGGTTATCCCAACTCATGTCAGCAACCCAGTGATCCCAGCAACCATTCAATTCGAGCTGCCAGGCAACCTAATCAGAGGTCGTCCAGATACCTCGGGCGCTGAGGAATGTCCGAAAGAGAGGGGTTCGGTGGAATCGATAATGAGCGGACGAGTAATGTGCACCTCAGTGTCATTGAAGCCAAGCAGGCAACCGGGCCGGACGACGGATGTAGAAAGAATGTGAGCCCCCTCTTGAGTGAAACAAGGAGAAATTAGGACAAGATGTACCGATTATCTAGTACATATCTTGTATTCTCAAAGAGTGCATAAGAGATTTAATAGCGAGGGAGAAGAGTAGAAAGGAAAAAGATATCGGAGCTATAACAGGACAAGGGAGGGCAGCCGAAGGGTTCCAGAGGCTCGAGGGAAGGTTGGAGCTGCCCTGGAACAAAGGGAGAAGCGGAGGTATGTCTTTAGCGTTGCTTGCCCTTTATCTATGTCTTGACCCTTTGACCTTGGTCTAGAAGGTTGTAAAGAAAAGGAGGGAGAAGAGGAGATTGGAGAGAGTGGAAGAGAGAGAAGAGAAAAAGCTTCGAGATTGAATATGAAAGAAATCCAAGAGGGGAGGAAATCGTGTGTTTTTCTTTTCCTCTGTTTGTAATAATTTAGACGCTGTATGTAATTTTTTTCTTTTTCCCATCCGCAGATCCACCGCTACGCACTTCTTTTTTTTGCGATCACTTAACAGAAATACCCTTCTCTGGATCAGACTGGGAGTGCAAATAATGAACAATAAATTAACCAAACCAAACGGAAGCTCCAGCCCGATTCTCCTCCACTCGCCGATGGTGTCTTGTAATTGTTCTACTTAGTGGAGAATATAGTTTTGGTGAGATAATCTCGGATATGGACGCATGGTATCTGTGGATGATTGTGCTACAAATTGGCAAGTCCCTGATCTATCAACGCATCAAAGTCTCTAGTCGTTCGTGTCTATTCAAGATGGTGGACCTGGTCAAGACTCCATTGATCGTTGTGAAAGCTGTTTGCTGAGCCGGGTTGATGTGCAATTCCGACCGGGTCGCACATGCCCAAGGCACCAAGGCTGCCTTGTGGCTACAGAACTACCGAGTCAAAGTTGTTCTTGGATGTAGACGTCGTCATCACAACTCTAGCGTGGGAAGGACATGAACGAACAAAGATAGGTTATCTCCCATCCCACCAATATGACTTACTGCATCATCACTGAGCTTGTGTAGTGTCGTTTCTCGCGATTTCAGGACTTTCCGACACATGGACCTAAACGAAGTTCGAGCTAGCAGTATAAAGACCCGCTGGTCCTTGATGAAGAAGATATCATTCAGCATTAGAGCGTTCATGTTCAGCCAGAGATGCATGCTATGGCTATGAGTCGGCCTTCACTGGTGTTCGCTTGTACGAGTTCATTCGGGACCCCTCCTGCAGTGGTCATCTTTTATGCCGAATCGGCAGAACCACAGTTGAAAGCCGCGCAATAAATTTAGCGTACGAACAGTCTACTTCCCCAAAGGATATCTTGGTTGTCTGCAATTAGTCGCATGCTCGAGACTCGTGACAATTTTGTTTGCAACACGGAGTGAAGTAGATGTCTGGCCGCCTGTCAACCTCTCCCACGGCATCTTCGAGTCGCTGAGCCTTCAGGACACTATCGTGCAGACTCCGCAGATGGCCAAAGGCGACCAGACATACTAGATTAACGGATCTGCGTTGCAAGTAAGGTCAAAAACAATAACTTAAGAGCTGTCTCAAAAATCGCCAAACCTCCGAGTCAATATAACCCTTTCTGGACTAGCGTCCTGTGAGCTCTCAAATTAAGGTTGAAACTCACGTGATATGAGGTCATCAATGTCTTATCATGGCATATTCCTATCCTGGCCCGAAATGAAAAGGAGAACGAATTGTTTTGATTTCCATATGGCGTATAGGACAACTTACTGGCATGGTGAGATATCCTTCGTAATCACACAAGGTGCTTTTGATCACTAAGCGTGGTTATCGGATCCAGATTCAAGTACAATTTCCGTCAGCTGTGCGAGGCAACAAGGGAACGCTATCCCTGATCTGGAACGCTATCGTATTGTGCCTTGCGGAGTACTCCGTCAGCGAGAGAACCTTCCCACCAATTGGAGAACGGCTGTCATCCTTTGATTGTCCAACGCTCAGATGTACATGGATCCGATGAGGTGAGGAGAAGCAACACTAAAAGATGACAGGCTGGCTGAGCTTTAATTGTTGATATTGCGGACTTTTCTGGATGTCCCGTCCTTTTTAGCCACGTCGTCAATGCAACCAAGGACAAGGAACAAGACACTTAGTCCGTGGACTAGAAACCTTTGACAAGAGTGGGTCTCAGCTGTGCCCCACCTTCATCTCCATCACGATCTCCAGTTGTCCTTTTCACCTGCAGGGGCAGCTCTCCTTCGACTGAATCCATTGGACGTCGTCACATCGGCATGAAGGTCTATTTCCGTCAGAGATTCGCGATCATTTCTATTACTGATTTAGTCAATTATCTATGAGTTCAACCAGGAGCCGTTGACTTAGGAATACTGCATACGTTGCCCCTCCAAGGCTTCCCCCTTACCATCCTGCTGATCGGACCAAATTCGGGGAAAGTCGAGATCGAGCCCTGTACTCCGTTACCCAGTTGTGATTAGCTGCTCGCCGGGGTAAGACTCGCTAAGGAGCTGGGCCGCTTATTAGCGGCATTCCAATGGCCAGATGGGCGAGGCTATCGTGGCTAGCTTGTTCTTTTCAGCTCCAGCCTCCAGCCCTTGATCTCGCCCACATGGCCGAGAAGCGGACACGGGACGTTGATGTTGGCAACTGAGATGAAATGGGTACAATGACGACATGGCCCCTGACCATATAGAGTAATCCTACGATAACAGTTAAGCAGCGCATTCAGAATGGGGATAGTTAGTACGGAGTAAATCTCGATCTTTCGCAAGATTAGAGGTCGTCAAGAGATCTTTTATGAAGTACGGAGTAGATATATACTTTCTGTACTCCGTACTCTCCAATACTGAGGAAATCTCCGAGCTTGGCCCCGGAAGGCAGCTAACTTGTTCTTCCACTTCCCAGTTTTCAACCTGAATCAACAATCAAACTCGTGCCCGAGGAGCCCAAGTCATAGTCTAAACTTCTCTCGGCAATACCAGGTACTGACGGATTCATCTTGCGATTGACAATGTCTCTCGAAGGAATCAAATAGTCTTGGATTTGAAGATCACCTTCAGAAAATCGTATTAGTGATCTCGAGTCTTCGAATACCGCACCCCAAATCAGCTTTATATATGACTAATGATCTAGCTGGAGAAGACCTGTCCTAAACCTAGGCGCCGTGCCCACAGGACGGATCGGCGTCCGAAAGTCCTGAAAAGAGACCATCGATCGTGCATCTGGCTTTTGCAGTTGCTGAACTGGATCAAGCTGCTATTACGTATAGTGTATAGATGATTGACGATTTCAGGAGGCCAGTGGCTCTTTCTTGAGAATTGCTGAGACAGTAGCCCCATCCGCTATACCGAGTCGCTAGGGGTCTACAGCACATCAGATCCTAACAGCGGTGGCAGAAAAAAACCTTGGAAAGCAGAAGTACTATATCGTCGCGGCAACACTCACCATACTGTCACAATCCGGTATGTAAGCGCATTTGCTAGATAACGAACATCTGGCGAATGAGACATTCATATGAAGATCAATGCCAACGGTCCTTCGAGCACCGTTTACCAGCTCAAACGATACATGAGCAATGGCATAACACAAGCTACTTTGACTTTCCCATTATCATGAAACATGGCAAGCTAATCGAAGGTTAGCAGCCGATGACCTTCCGCGACACCGACAGGGACAAAGCAGTCGCCTTTTACATGTCACACAGATGGAATCCTGGAGAAATGCGAAACCATTTGACTAATGTAGACTTCGATATCAAGTGAGAGTCGGACAGACTGGCCACCGCAGGATGAGTACCTATAGACAGAACTTGTGATGTTATTTATTGTAGGTCTGCTGAGGAGGTAGATAGTTGAGTGGCTTCCTTGAAGAAGTTACCTGAAAAGTCAGGCAGACGCTCTTTGCACCGCCACATATCTAGCCACAACTTTGCACCCCGCCTATTTATCTTCTTCTCGGCAATTGCCTAATTCAGGAACCCGATGGGCAGCAAGGATTTTATAAAAGTCTCCGATTCGTTATTGATGCTTCGATTACCTTTTCATTATCGGTCTTGAGAATCCTCAGGGTACCTTGACTGGTACATCAGTCCTCAGTTTACTTGTGATTTCCTGATTCCATGTATGGGCTCAATGCCTTCCCGTTGTCTTTCCTTTGTTGACAAGCGAACGCCTGCTTCGAAGCATGAGACAGCTGGTCGGTGAATGAACCGTGCCATGAGTCAGATACTTCGAGGGTTTTGCGAGCCTTTTTGGAAACCACCTACTTAAGCCTATTTAATTTTCAGTCTCTTGAATTCCCACATTGCCAGTGAACCCGAAATGTCGCTTCCATCAGGCCGCAGAAAAGGGCCGCGGAAACATGCTCGGCGTCGAAAGTCTCGCGTCAAGAATGGGTTCGCTTCACCTAAATCGCCTCAATCTATTTTAGCCGAAGTACGAAGAAAGACCTTTTCGAAAGCGCGCAATCAGGGCGGACTTTTCGGTACTACGAGCAGCCCTGATGCCGAGCCCGCAAGAAATCGTGGTAGTCAACAGTCGTTAAAATATTCGAAGTTTGTTAGACTTCCTGCTTCGACAGAACCTCTCGAAGAGGTATGATTGTTGTTTTCTTCTTATCCTATCACTGTGGCGCTATAGATCCCACGGGGAGGGTCCTAGCTTAGCTTGCAGCTCTAGTTCAGCTGACGCTTCGTCCCAACAGAATTGCTTCGATAGGGAACCGTTGCGGGATAACTATGTCTTTGTGCCAAAGGGCGATGTTTATATCACGCGGCACTGTCGAACTCAGACCAAAGAGTCCAGTCGGATAGTCTATGTCGTCTATGTAAGGATTGCCCGCGCGTTCTGCTTGCATCATCTAACGCATCGCAGGACAACGCGGGAAAACGAAATATTGGCCTCCGCGTTCCGAACGATGTGTACGCTGCTGTTCTCAAATCTGCTGCCGCAACTGCTGATTTGCGTGCTCATGCTGTCAAGACACGAGACGAAAAAGACCTGTCGCGAGCTCGGCAAATCCTGCGCAACAAGTTTCCACTCATGCCAGCTGAGTCCCTGGAGACGATTGTTGATCACGCTTTCCTGAAGTGCTCTGGACGAGTGGGAAGAACGACAAGGAAAACAGACGAACAAAAAGCCAATTTGGCTGTGGAAGCACACATCAGGCACACACATACGCCTTACGAAACCCTTCTTGGCGCGGGAAAAGCACGGCAAGAAGCCAGAGAAGCGGTTTGGGGTATGGTGCAAGCCATAAAAACTGCGTGGGAGGGTGCAAACGCTCAGTCCACAGATTCTTTGCCCCTGCGCAGTCGTGCTGATGGCCAAAAACCGACAAGTCCTGCTGACGAGGTAATCTGGATTGATTGACGGCCTCTCGAGCGCGAAGACTGATTTCACCGGTCATGACAACCATCCAACATGAACCTCGATAGAGGGCTTCTTCGACCGGCGATACCCAATTTTCAGCAATGACCCTCATGATGACATGAGAAATGAACGATCTTATGTATCCTAACATGCATAGAGTACGACATAGAATACGCATAGACGGAACAGGATGTGACAATTCACCATCGTCGCAGTCAATATGTTTAATGATAATAGTTAAGGTTGTTGCCATTTCAGACCATTACAGTGAATTATTTCCTTGCCATAGGGAACTGTGAACAGGAATGAGTTGTATCCATTTGTATTACTGCGATGAAAAGATACATTCGACAGCGCTGCACGCAACTCCAAAATTAAATTGCAGACTAAGCAAAAAAGACATACCTTTCCACAACGATAACCCCAATCAATCCGAACTCCAAACAGTATGCGCCAAGTGTCGGTTTTTGCGTCGCTCTGATGTCTATTCTTTTTCCGTTAGCCCAGTGCACCAATCGAAAATCCCGTTAAAGACGCAAAGCCAAGGGGGATCATTGCTGAGCAGATTCAGGCAGCTTATCGTCATCTTGCGCCTCCTGCGAGTCAGAGTCTGCCTGCTCGTACACTTCAACAGTGACAGTGGGGAACTCGGCCTCCTGCGAGTCAGAGTCCGTCTCCTCGTATACTTCAACAGTAACAGTGGGAAGCTCAGGGTCCCACTCAACCATATCACACCAGAACACACGCACCGGACCAAGTTTATACGGGAGATCGAACTTTCCCCCGAACTCAAGCTGATCAAACATGTGCATGAGGTGTCTCTGAACATCCTCGAATAGGTCTACCTCAGTCGGGAATGGGTTCGTGGTCCCGTCATCCTGATTGATGAGCTCATAATGGATGAAAAGGCTCTTGCGGCCTGGAATGGGGTGCCTCGGGTTGCGGAACTGCTGTGACTCGAGACGGGCTGTGACGGTGCTGTATGCGTCGTCAATGACATCCATCATTTCGCCGGGCTGGGTGGTATACTCCATGTGGACGATGATGTACAGCCCCGGTTCGAGGTTGTAGGGGTTCGGCCAGTCGATGTAAAGACCGGCATCCTGCATGCGCGCCTGGCGCTCGTCCTGCTCGCTCCACTGTGGGATACCCATGTTGTTAGATTTGCAAAATTGGTTTGGATATGGTACTCAACGTCTTGAAGAAGGGTTAGCCGGTTCGGAGAGTTGGCGTACAGTAGGTGACTCTCGTTCAAAGTTTGGAAAATCGAGACAACGTAGGTAGAAAGGTAAATGGAGAGAACAGGGTAGTTCGATAGTTGGATGATCATTCGACTGGTGAGAAAGGAAAGGGACTTTATAGTCAAGTTATCAGCGAAGGACCTCGAGCAGAGTGTAAGGTGCGTCAATTCCATGGCGTTTCTGCGTTGAATTTCCTTCATAGGCTTCAATGAGTCTCATAGTCAACAAAGAGATTCTTTCCAACGTGTCTCTCATCCTCAAAAGAACCATTGTCATGCAAATCATGCTAGAAAGACAACACTTGAGTACCTTCATGGAGGATGCCGTCGCGACAGACTAGGAGACAATTCCACGGAATTGCTGATTCGGATTTCCTTGTCCACTAACAAGAGACTCACTCTCGACAAAGGATCCTTTTCCGAGTGTCTTTCTTGATATAATGGAAAAACAGAATCTCGTTGTCGTTGCATGGACTCCATGAGGATTGATATCATGAAAGCCCATTGTGATTTCAGTGGGATCGTCCCAACAGTTATTGAACATATCTTTCTTTGTTCGACCTGGCCTCTGAAGACTTATTGTGTTTCAAACTTGGTCGGGCTGTGAGACCATAATCTTAAATGAGGCTTTTTCGAGTCTCAGAGGGTCTTTGTCCTTGGCTTGTCTGTCGCGTGTTGGTCTTTGTCTATTGTGTTTTTTTCACTTGGCGTGGAAACCTGAAAGACATCTTCCCTATGTCCTTGCCCTAATTGCTGACCTGAATGGGCTTATGTCTCCGATTGAGTAAGGTTCAGGATAGCCTCTAGATGGTCTGATAGAGAAGTTGCTATTGTTCTACCTACTCGGGGAGGCTACATGATGCCTGGAGCGTATATAGATGATCTGACAACCCTCATTGTGCTAACAATTTAATTGTTACACCAGCGAATAATATTGACCTTTTCAGATAACAAATAATGGCTTGATTAGACTGAATACCCCGTCTAAGTAGGTATACTTTAAGAATTCAAGAATCAAGATACAGTATATAGTTCAGTTGCTATCAGAAAGTCCCAAATAGGTAGTAGGGCTAGCCCTGGTCTATGCCGCTTTCGGTATAGGCTATTGCGGAGATTGAAGCGGTTCTCCGACAACTGACTGCAGCTCTACTGTGTAGATCCAGTATCTTCGTGCAGCGATACACGTGTCTCAACAATGGAGGGCACAGATATTGTCGAGTCGCCGCGCAAGCGGCTCAAGACTGAGGATACCACCGTTTCGGACGATGTTGTGCTGCCTCCTTCCACGGTGCCGGCTCTAGAGATCTCCGATGGTGATGCTCAAGCATTGAAGGAAGCTGAGGTCGGAATCACCGAATTTGTCAGTTCAGACAACGTGGGATTTTCTGGGGTTCTGAAAAAGAGGTACAACTGAAACCTGAGATACTCCATATCAAGTTAACCCTCTTTTGTTCCAGATACACCGATTTCCTCGTCAATGAGATCCTTCCGTCCGGTGAAGTTTTGCATCTTCGGAATTTGAATCCTCCCACTTCGCCTGCAGATGGAACCAAGAACAACGATGCTGAGACCAAGCCGGAGGCTCCTGTAGCGGATAATACTGCAGAGTCAGCAGCCGCGGGAGAGAAAGATGCTCCAGCCGCTAAAGAGGAGGCCGCTGCCGAGTTCCAGATCTCAGAGGAAGACAAGGCATTATTGGAATCATTCTTTGGCACGGAGGCTACCGAACGAATTTTGGCTCTACATACCCGTGCCCTGTCGAACCCCAGAGCGAGACCGAACGAGTTGGGTCGAGTGAACACCGTCGTTGTCACAGATCGCGACCAGCGCATCAAGATCCACCAAGCAATCCGTCGCATTTTCAATTCGCAACTCGAATCGCAGACGGACAGCGAAGGCATGATGAATATCTCGGCCGCTCCCAACCGGAACAAGCGCAACCCTCAAGGTGGACGCGGTTCAGGGCGCGAACGAGGACGGCTCAACTTCGAGGAGCTGGGAGGCTCCTATCTGCATTTTACGATATACAAGGAGAACAAGGATACGATGGAAGTTATATCTTTCCTGGCGCGTTCAATGAAAATGGCTCCGAGAAGCTTCCAGTTTGCCGGTACTAAGGACCGACGTGGTGTGACCGTGCAGCGAGCATGTGTAAGCCGAGTCTTTGCCGACCGGCTCGCAAAGCTCAACTCTGCCCTTCGCAACTCTGCCGTGGGAGACTACGAGTATTGCCGCCATGGCCTCGAGCTGGGTGATCTGAAGGGCAATGAGTTCGTCATCACTCTGCGGGAATGCGTTATTCCTGGTGTGGACCTTCAAAATCGCGAAGATGCCATCGCCAAGGCCAAGGAGTTTGTGGGCTCTGCATTGCGAAACCTCCGTGAGCGCGGTTACTTCAATTACTACGGCCTGCAACGTTTCGGAACCTTTGCCACCCGCACGGATATGGTCGGTGTGAAGATGCTCCAGGGTGACTTCAAGGGCGCCTGTGATGCAATCCTGCATTACAGTCCTCATATCCTTGCAGCAGCCCAGGAAGGCAACTCGACCTCCACGATTAGCTCAGATGACAAGGCTCGTGCGGAAGCAATCCACATCTTCCAGACTACCGGCAAAGTCACCGAGGCCGTGGAGAAACTGCCTCGGAAATTCTCAGCGGAAAACAACCTGATCCGCCATCTGGGCCGCTCCCAGAACGATTATCTCGGAGCTTTGCAAACCATTCCCCGGAACTTACGTCTGATGTACGTGCATGCTTACCAGTCACTGGTCTGGAACTTCGCTGTCGGCGAGCGCTGGCGGCTTTACGGCGACAAAGTCGTAGAAGGCGACCTCGTCCTTATCCACGAGCACCGCGAAAAAGTCGAAGCAACCGGCCCTGAAGCCGAGGTCGACGCCGACGGCGAGGTTGTCGTCAAGCCTGCAGCACACGACAGCGCTTACTCAGCTGAGGACATGTTCGAGCGCGCCCGCGCCCTAACCGCCGAGGAAGCCTCCAGCGGCAAGTACTCGATTTTCGACGTGGTCCTGCCGCTCCCTGGCTTCGACGTGGTCTACCCCGCCAACGAGATGACCAACTTCTACAAGCGCTTCATGGGCAGCGAGCAAGGCGGTGGTCTCGATCCCTTCGACATGCGCCGCAAGTGGAAGGATATCAGTCTTAGCGGCGGCTACCGCAAGGTCCTTAGCCGGATGGGTGTGGACTACTCGGTGGATGTGAAACTGTATTCTCAGGACGACGAGCAGTTCGTGCAAACGGATTTGGACAGGCTCAACGGCAAGGAAGCGGCTACTGAGTCTAATGCCGATTCCGCTGACAAGATCGCCGTGATCCTTAAGTTCCAGCTCGGATCGAGCCAGTATGCCACAATGGCGCTGAGAGAGCTAATGAAGGGCAAGGTGGTGGCTTACAAGCCGGATTTTGGAGGTGGACGTTAGTCGCTTTGTCCAATATGTATATATGAGCCTTAAAAAAAAGGGATAGACAAAATTGTTAGATACCAATTAATGGCATAAAAGGTATGATAGTCTCTCATTCCAAATCTCATTCTCTTACTCAATTTGTAGGTACCGACAAGTATCGCCAGATAGCATCATTCAACAAAGAATCACGGGGTACCGCCCAGCAAAGCTTCGAAACATCGTCGCAGACGGTCAAGAACGCGCACCTCATTGAAATCGTCCAATGAACTCAGGCATAACCCATAACATTTCGCAGCATTATCTGCGCGTCGCGGGTTCGTCGTCACCGATGGAAGACACAGATGAAATATCATCTAGATCACGACTATGCGTGGCTCCCCGTCTGTCGCTCAGACCCGACACCTCGGACATGGCATCATCCAACGGATGATCAAAAGGCGAGCGGGGACGATCTTCGCTTCCGGCTCGCCATCCAGCTGTGACTGGGCTGGTTTCCGGTAACCCTAATCCACCTTCTGGTTGTCTATTCTCTGTGACTGCAGCTGGAGGAGTATGAACGGACAGTGTAGGTGGCTGGGATCTGGGCGTCGCGTTTATTTGATGATTGTATGACTGGACTGGTGGAATGTGATCATTTGAGGCGGCCTGAGAAGGATAGGGCCCATCGAAGAGGATTTCATGGGATCTTGCGTGTCCGACGTTCCATGGAGTACTGTTCTGCTGCAGCAAGTTTGTTCGAGTTGTTTGAGCCATATCAACTTGCAGGTCCGATGGCTTCTCTTGTCGAGTTTTCCGACGGCGGCGTCTCAAAAGAAGGAATAACGCCCCGAGAAGCAATGCAGCGCCAACTACAGATACTGGAACAGCTATAGCGATTGTCTTTGTGTTGCTGCTTCCCGAGTTGCTCTCTCCCGGTTGGGGAGCAGTTCCAGTTGATGATGAGATTGAAGAAATTACTGTGGTCGCCGTCGCGGGAACGTTTGTGATTGATGATGTGAGGGATGTCGGTTCTTCTACCGTGTCGGTTGTTCGCACAATGGTAGCCGTCGAACCCGACCCGAACAGAGATGTCGGAGATGTAGAGAATGACTCGCCGTACCATGGCGATGGCTGCTCCTCACCAGGAGATAGCGGCTGTATACTGTGCTCATTGGCGCTGTCCAGGGAATTCGGCCTTTCACGATCAATCATTCTGTTATACCTATCTGTGGTCGTCTCACGATTCCGGGATATAATAAGACAAGTACTCCCTCGGATGATTCAACGTCGCATAACCAGTTCTTGAGACGATGCAATTGTCCTCCAGGCTCGCCAGACTCGTACCACAATGCAGACCAGAAGCCAGTCCTCGCATTCAAAACCTGTGCATCCACCAAAGTCGCTTATTGCTAGAAGCTCAACAGGGTGTAAGAAACCGAACAATGATGCACTTGGAATCTCTCCCGTATTCTTGCTTCCAGGTAACAACTTGCAACGACAAGCTGATGAAGAGGGACAGAGCAAGGAGAAGTAGATCATTTTTCACGAGGCCGATAACAGAGAAAAAAAGTCGCCAAAGGGAGCGCTGACATGGCGCAGCAGCTTCAAGCGGTTACCAAGTATAGACCCGAACAATGAAAGGGCACCGATCAGCGGCCAATCAGCGGGAAGTGAGGCAGCCGCCTGCCTCTGAACACGAGCCGCTACACACCATGTATTCGTAACACGACGGGACTGAACTCATCGCTGATTGACTGCTTCAGAAGTCTCGATGTCCATTAATCCTGGCGTGCGGCATGATGCAAGCATCAGTGCCTATTCATAAGGCTCCATGATGTCCACGGCGGTTGTATAGGCGCCTCGTTCAGATGAGTACGCAGTACGGAGTACACTTGTTCAAAATGGAAACAGACTTCGCGGTCGCATTATGTGGGCCAGATCAACAAGCACGAAGACATAGCGACCCGAGTTTGTCTACTGCTTTGATCGGCGAGTTAGCTTAGGCAGTTTAAGACGAGAAATGCGTGTCGTTGGGGGCCAAATGCTTCGACAGTAGGACAAGACACTCAGTCATTGTCACTGTCACGCAAGGGTTTGAACTCTAATGTCAACTGAAACAACATTGTTCCCATTTGGCCTTGCCAATAAGATGAAGCTTTACCTCGTATAGCTGAACATGATCACGAAGGAAACAAGAGAAAGCATGGACCAGAGGAAACCGGAGAATAGAGAATAGTCACGTGCCCCTCGGAGATTGGAGATAACTGAGAATGCGGGGCGGGGACGACGCCAGATGCAGCGTGACCGATACTACCTGGATCGGCAACATAACACGGTTGTGCTCGTATCCGGTCCATCATCTTTACCTATTGAGATACATTTGAGCTCACGATGAGTGGCTTAAGAGGAACTTTCAAAGAGGGCTGGCACCCTAAAGGCAAGTCTGGAGGAAAAGAAAGCTGGCGGGGAGACTTCAAAGGCATCAATCAAGTGGTTGGTACTTTTCCGAGCTTCTGAGCAAATTCAGTATTTGACGTTTGCTGACGCTCGCTTGGTATAGGCAGGATGGATGGGAAAGGGGAAGGATAGAGACAGCGAGCAGGAGCAGCACGTCTCTCGGCCCCTGTCATCACTCAAGGACCCATCCGCTTTCGGGCCACCACCGAAACACATTGCGGTCCATGGACCTGGTGCGGTTCCGAATCAGATGACGCCGGATCGCAGGGGACTAGGGGCGCCTCTATCTCAGGAAGAGATCCAGCACGCGCAGGCCCGGCAGCAGGAGCAGAATCGAGCTGAGGAAGCCGAACCCCAAAGACCAGCTGGTCCACCGCTACCCTACCGAGTGAATACGACAGGTATAAACACGGATAATCTCCCACCACCTCCAGCCCGAAGAATGCATTCGCCGGCAAGTTCCGTCTCCTCTGCGAGTTCTAGACCAGTGCCGAGTGTGCCGCCTCGGATTCCTACTCGCATGAACTCCACTCCACAGTCGCAGCCAGCGACCCCTCCTCCGGCATATTCCCCATCAGAACCGGCTTCTGAGGGACTCTTAAACCAAGGCGCTGTCTCCCGTCTGTCCAATGCTGGAATTTCAGTTCCGGCACTTGGCATTGGCCACGATAGAAACAGCCCCAGCAACACAACCGGGGGAGTAGTCGGCCAAGCCTCAGTTAATGAGCTTCAAGCTCGTTTCTCGCAAATGAGGACAGCCTCATCTCAATCTCCGTCGCAAGCCCCCTCCCCGCCGGTCCGGGGAAGCACAACAACACAGCCCGAGTCATCGGCAACATCCACAGTGAACAACTTGCGCCAGCGACATAACGATAAGCTTCAAGCGGGCAAAGAACGAGTCCAGGACTTGAATGACAAATACAGGATCACACAGCGCTTCAATAACTTTGTCGACGAGAAAAGATCGGCAAACACATCCATCTCATCCAACCAATTCCGGCCCCCTCCTACACCCCCGCATTCTAATCGAAGCCAGCCTGCATCCGACTCAGTAGAAACAGACGCATTGAACCGGCGAAAGGCCCCACCACCGCCACCTCCTAAGAAAGCAGCGATGCGATCAGCACCTGTCAACGCCCCTTCTCCATCATCACCTGCGCCTCCGCCGCTCCCGCTGAGTACCAAACCCGTCTGAGCGGAGGCTAGGTCAACTGATGTCGAGTCGATTGTATCTACTGCGTTTAACCTTATTGGATTTGTCCATCACGTTCGTTTCACTGTACAATAGACCAAGTACATTTATATTTTTGGACATGCACCCACCCACTGCTCCAACGCTAGGCTGGAACAGACGTACAATGCGCGGCAGTATGGCTTGCAAACGAAAGTTGAAAAACTGCATTTACTCCCAGGACTCCCAGCCGATTGATTTGACTAGGGGAGCCTAGTAGTATTGTCTCCGGCTGACTGCCTATTCTACGGATAAATACCATCGACTAAGCCGGCTGTGGCGGATGTGGCTTGTTACCGTCCTCAACGATAATCGCAACTCATAGGATCTGCCCTGTAGTACTGTGGTTCAGGGAGAGGCAGTTTTGAACATTAGACAGCAAATGGAACACCATCAGAATCAGATCAATGCTATGCGTTCCACCATCTCAAGAAAAGGTTTACTTAGGCGCTTTGAAGGTGAAACTGAAGATCCTCGAGTAGAGTCGGTCAACCGACATGGCGTTTGATAGGCTGATAGGTGTTCCCTATCTGCACCTTTGTGTTGGTTGCATAACTTGCATTAGTGCAATCCTGCAGTGAGTCTAGTTTTGTTCAGGGGTAAGAAATGTTGAATCAATGATCCCCCATACCTCGGTTCATTCTACATCTATAGAGTTGCTAACTACGGGCTATTTCCCTTTGTTGGGGTGAATCCTTAAATCCTTCATGTGAACGATGTCCCAGGCGCTGAGACACCGTTGATGTTGCCTTGATGCCTAGGCCCTGGTGGCCCTGAGGTTAAGGCCAAAGGCCTGCAAATCTCGTGCCATGCCAAATCCGGGGTATTCGCGGCCCGGTCGCTGACTAATGCGGGACGCGAATTAAAATTTCTGATTGGCTGCCCGGCTGGTATTGCGCATCATTTTTGCGACGCGGATCATTTTAGAAAGGTCGCGGTCCTACTACAATCTATATAGGTCAACAGGGATGGAGGTACGGGGCTTGTACTAGTGTAGCTTTGCATCTAAGTAGATGTACTCTATTCTTGAAGTATAGAAGATGTAGAATTATTCCCAGAATATGCTCGTCGAGAGATCACCGAGTCTTTCATGCCTTGCATCATTGTTCAGCACATCGCGTGAGGATGACGGAAGTGGCAAGAAATTATCAACAGGTATCTACCTCTACCTTTCTACCAGAGGTACACACTGCCTGGGTCTGAGCAATAAGCTATAGCATCATCATCATGGTTTGACCAATGCGCTGCTATATAACTATCCGTAAGGCCCTTTTGTTCATGGTGTATCTAGAAGGAGATCTTCTTCACAAGCTTGCTAAGGAAGTTGACTGTTGCCATCAATTGTGTTGGGCCGAGGTTTCATCGACGCCCAGAGCAGCCAAATTCCCAACAAATGCATCACGGCTCCACTCTTGGAGATACTAACGACACTCCAATAATTTTCTGCCATTGACGCGATTAGACTCTCTTGATTTGTAGAGACTCACTTGATACTTGCTTTTTTCTGAGTTGGCAGTTCACACCTCTTAAGGATTTATCTATCCGCATCTGCCTCTGTGCGAATTGATCGAACCTTGGGGAGGAGGTGGAATTACTTCATTACTCTTCTCCGCTTTGGGGAGCGACTTTTGCGACGTTGAACTTTTTTATTATTTTTTTATTTTTTGGGTCGAGCTCTTTCCCACCCTTTCCTTATTTCTTGGTCTTGTCTTCCTCTTTTTCAAAAAAGGGCCACAGACTTGTTGTCTTGAAAGTCTAGTCCTCTCTCGTCAATTCTTGCTTCACCTGTGAAATCGCGCTTAGGAAGTATTCGATCATGATCGACTTCAACGTCGACACCGAGGCGGGCCCTGCTGTCGTGCGCTTCGGTTTCCCGCCCGCCTCGCTCTTCAAATTCCCTCCTAGCGAGCTTCCTGAGCCTCTTCCTGCTCCTCTGATCTCTGAACCGACATGGAACCAGCCGTTCAACATTCCCCCTGAGTTGTACAAACAGCTCCTGGACGTTCGCGTGCCCATTACCATTGCCAGCGTCTACGCAGTCACCGTCGTCATCATCAACCGCATCAACAAGAGTCGTGGGTACAAGGCCTGGGGTTTCAGCCAAACGCGGCTCTTCAAGCTTTTCGTCATCCTCCACAATGTCTTCCTGGCCATCTATTCCGCATGGACGTTCGTCGGCATGTTCCAGGCTTTCCGCAACTCGTGGCCTCACCGCGAGGACCCGCACGGCGTCGTAGGTGTGCTTGATTCTCTTTGCAAGATCAATGGCCCCCGCGGCTACGGCAATGCTGCCATCTACGACTCCGTCACCGATCAATGGAAACTGCCGAACCCCGAATACCAGCTGGCTGCGGGTGGTGTCCCGGACCCGACGGACGTTGGCCGTATGTGGAACCAAGGATTGGCCTACTTGGGCTGGATCTTCTATCTGTCCAAGTTCTATGAGGTGTTGGATACTGCTATCATCCTGGCGAAGGGCAAGAAGAGCTCGACTTTACAGACCTACCACCATGCGGGTGCGATGATGTGCATGTGGGCGGGTATCCGCTACATGGCTCCTCCCATCCTTATCTTCACCCTGATCAACTCTGGTATCCATGCTCTGATGGTAAGCAATCACTTTTCAAAATGTCTGTATTAATCGGATACATTGGCTGACCATCCTCTCCAGTACACTTACTACACTCTGACCGCACTTCATATCCGAGTCCCCGGGGTTATCAAGCGTTCTTTGACCACCATGCAGATCACACAGTTTGTGGTCGGAACCACCTGGGCCGCTTCGTATCTCTTCGTCGGCTACACTCTTCCCGGTAAGCTTTCGACTGCAAGCGCCGCTGCTGCTTCTGCTACGTCCGTCATTGAGGCTGCAGCTGCGACTGCCTCGGCTGTAGGGCTCGGCCCCTGGCTCAAGAAGCTGGGGTTGCGTGCTGCTGGCGCAGAGGGTGCCGCTGAGAACGTTGGTTACGCGTACGCCGATGTCCCCAGCACCTCGGCTGCTCGGCGCGCGCCTATTGGCCCCATGACCACCTGCATTGATACAACCGGTCAGGCTTTCGCAATTTATCTCAACGTTATGTACCTCCTGCCTCTGACATATCTGTTCGTGCGCTTCTTCGTCCGGTCATACCTGCACCGCAAGGAGCCGAGCCAGCCTCATCCCACTCACATGCATGCTGCCGAAAAAGCTGGCCTAGATGCTCTCAAGGGCGTCAGCCGTGAAATTCAAAGGTCTGTGGAGATGAACGGGGAGATTAGCACGGAAGATGAGGCAGTTCAGAAGGCTCAGACTCAAAGGACCAACGGCAAGAAGGCCCAGTCGCAGATCACTGACAAGTCGCCGATCCGGACGCGCTCTGGTGCCAACCAAAAGAAGCGTGGCACCAAGGAGGAGTCCGAGGAAGGTTTCTCGACTGTTCCTCCCAAGAAGGGTGCCAAGCCTCTGACGAAGGAGGAATTGGAGAAGTTCCCTGATGTTCCTGACGTCCAGGGCACTAATCCTTTCGGGGTATTGGAGAAGGCTGCTTAAGCATGCTCTCTGATTTATCAATGTTTCTATCCCAATAAAAAAGAACATCTCTCCCCTACCCTCCGACTTTTCTTGAGGTTCGTGATGCTCACGGACTCGCCTTATCGAGAGTTGATTAAGGGCTCCTACCCTCCCGTGGTTCAGGCGACGAGACATCAGATCCCGTGGTGTTCTCGTCGTCAAGCGGATCCATTCGTGCCGCTACCTCTTTGCTAGCATCAGCTGCGTCTAGTCACGGGTCTGCCGCGGCGCGATAACACAGAGACATAGACCATGCAGAAACCGTGGGTTCCAATTGTGTCTCCAATAATGTGGTTGTCTTATCTGTCAATTCTTAACGAAACTCTTTGTTGCTTTCTTTGTTTGTTCTGTACATATGTTCCTTTGAATTTTTGATCCGGGCGTTGAGGGCTTGAGGAAAAGAACAAGGTTAGTTCACTTGTTTATTATAGATTTATTTAGCAATAAAATAAAAAAAATCTCTCCAGACACGCCCCCACATGTAACCAGTCATATTAGCATCATATGGGCCCCTAAATTATAAGTACTAGAGTTAGTAAGGTAGCTACAGGTCGCAGTTATAGTCATAGTTAACGGTCATGGTGTAAGGTGGCCATCAGCAGCCCTCAGAGGGTAAAAATAACCCAGTAATAGGAGAAATTAAATTCTTCATACAGAGTAGTAGAATCTAGATATCTAATGTTTCTGCCCCTAAGGTACGTTGTGGTTTTCCTAGGGACTGCGTAGTAAGGGTTATATTTGAGGCTATTTTATGATTCGCATGATGCCCTTATTCATAGCACAGTGACAAGCCCAGACCCTAACACTTATGCAATTCAGGGTCACATGATGCTAATCTAACTAATTACGTCCAGGGGGGTGTGTCCGTAAAGATTTTCTAATATAACGGCTCAATAATGTCGCCTCGAAGCTATCCCAAGTTTAATCTATCCCTGTAGAAGTAGTCCGTCCACGGCAAAACTCCCGCGTCGAGACTGTTGAGTGGAGGAAAAATACATGTCCAGCCATCGTGCGGGTTTCCCGCAGATGTTGATCTTGTTTACAATTCCCCACATCGGCCATCCTGGTTATGATCCCGATACCAAATTGTGCCTAATTAGTGATCCTTGCTCCAGCGCGGACTGAAAATGCTGTGGGGTACCGTCGCCTTTGACAAGAATCTAGCGCATCGGACCTTACTGAGCATTTTCATTTTCCGGCGGGATGGTCTCTTGGACGCTTTTTATGACGGCTCGGCTTGATTTCAACGGGCAATTGGGTGGCTCTCTAATCAATAATGTCTGTGGCTTGGAGATTTGTGAATGGTGGATTGGCTTGGAAGTGTGAGGACCAGCGATTTAAAGTCTTTAATAGCCTGTGCTTGCCATGCCGTTTGTCGACAGTGGAACATTGCAGCACCTGTCCTTGGAACTAGTCAGCAGCGTGGTGTTGCTGAGGTTCGGTCATGGCGCACATCTACCAACTCGTCCTTCTTCTTCTTTCAAATCTGTGGTTCTCGACAGCTGCTCAGAACCAGTCAGAGACTGAATGGCCTCTTCACGATAATGGCTTGAGCAAGGTAGTGCAATGGGACCACTACAGCTTCCACGTCAACGGGCAGAGGATCTTCGTCTTTTCCGGCGAATTCCATTACTGGCGTATTCCGGTCCCCGAGTTGTGGAGGGATGTTCTCGAGAAGGTGAAAGCTACCGGTTTCACTGCGTTTGCGTTCTACTCTAGCTGGGCCTATCATGCGCCCAACAACCACACGGTCGACTTCTCGACCGGCGCTCGCGATATCACGCCCATCTTTGAGCTTGCAAAGGAGCTCGGCATGTATATGATTGTGCGCCCCGGGCCCTACGTCAATGCTGAAGCCAGTGCGGGCGGCTTCCCTCTGTGGCTGACGACTGGCGAGTATGGCTCGCTGCGGAATGATGACCCGCGGTATACGGCCGCATGGACGCCGTACTTTGCCAACATGTCGCAAATCACTAGCAAGTATCAGGTTACGGATGGACATAACACGCTCGTCTACCAGATTGAGAATGAGTACGGTCAGCAGTGGATCGGAGATCCCAAGGATCGCAAGCCGAATAAGACTGCGGTTGCTTACATGGAGCTCTTGGAAGCATCTGCTCGTGAGAATGGTATCACTGTGCCATTGACAAGCAACGATCCCAACATGAACTCGAAATCTTGGGGATCGGACTGGTCCAATGCTGGAGGCAATGTCGACGTGGCTGGTTTGGATTCCTATCCGTCGGTGAGTTACCATTAAATCCTTTTTATTTGTTTCGTTCTGACTGTTGAAGTGCTGGACATGCGACGTGAGCCAATGTACCTCCACCAATGGGGAGTATGTTCCCTACAAAGTGATTGATTATTACGACTACTTCCAAGAAGTTCAGCCCACTCTTCCCTCGTTCATGCCCGAGTTCCAGGGCGGTTCGTACAATCCCTGGGCCGGTCCTGAAGGTGGATGTCCTCAGGACACCGGCGCCGAGTTTGCTAACCTGTTCTACCGATGGAACATTGGCCAGCGAGTGACCGCCATGAGTCTGTATATGCTGTACGGAGGAACCAACTGGGGTGCAATTGCTGCTCCTGTGACAGCAACCAGCTACGACTACTCCGCTCCCATCTCCGAAGACCGCTCGATTGGAGCCAAGTATTCCGAGACCAAGCTACTGGCATTGTTCACCCGTACCGCAAAGGACCTCACAATGACAGAGGCGATCGGAAACGGAACACAATATACCACCAACACAGCCGTCCGTGCATTCGAGTTGAGAAATCCTCAGACCAACGCCGGGTTCTACGTCACATTCCACGACGACACCACCGTTGGTGGAAATCAAGCGTTCAAACTCCATGTCAACACTTCTGTCGGTGCCTTGACTGTCCCCAAGAACGAGGGTGTGATCCAGCTGAATGGTCATCAATCCAAGATCATCGTGACCGACTTCACGCTCGGCAAACGTACTCTTCTCTATTCAACTGCCGAGGTCTTGACCTACGCCGTTTTTGAAGACAGGCCCACCCTCGTGCTCTGGGTTCCTACTGGGGAATCCGGCGAGTTCGCGATCAAGGGAGCCAAGTCAGGAAAGGTTGAAAATGGCGATGGCTGCTCGGGAATCAAATTTAAGAGTGAGAAGAACTATCTCGTCGTGAACTTCTCTCAGGCCAAGGGATTGAGCGTCTTGCGGCTCGATAATGGTGTGCGCGTGGTTCTGCTCGACAAGGCCGCCGCGTACCGCTTCTGGGCTCCTGCGTTGACAAATGATCCTGTCGTGCAAGAGACCGAAACTGGTAAGTTCACTTCATGCGTAGTACATTGTCATTTCATACTAATTATTACAGTGCTCGTCCACGGCCCGTACCTTGTTCGCTCCGCCAGCGTGTCCAAGTCCACACTGGCGCTCCGAGGAGACTCAGTCGAGAAGACGACACTGGAAATCTTCGCGCCTCACAGCGTGAGGGAGATTACCTGGAATGGAAAACAAGTGAAGACCTCTCAGACTTCATATGGCAGTCTCAAAGCGACTCTCGCTGCACCGCCGACCATAAAGTTACCCGCTCTCACCTCCTGGAGATCCAACGACAGTTTGCCGGAGCGGCTTCCATCGTACGACGATTCCGGCCCGGCCTGGATTGGTGAGTTGGATTCCAATCGATCTGGCCTGGACGAAATCTAATGCGTTTGACAGAGGCAAACCACATGACCACATCTAACCCCAGTAAACCTGCAACCCTTCCAGTCCTATACGCAGACGAATACGGTATGTCAACCTCTATACCGACACCATCACAAGTCTAACCCGCCTACAGGCTTCCACAACGGCGTCCGCCTCTGGCGCGGCTACTTCAACGGCTCTGCTTCCGGAGTCTACCTCAACATCCAAGGAGGAAGCGCCTTGTACGTTACACTCCCCATCCCCTCTCAACTCTCTCATCGAAACTAACAACCTCCCCTCCGCAGCGGCTGGTCCGCCTGGCTAAACGGCCACTTCCTCGACTCCCACCTCGGCGACGCAACAACCTCCCAAGCAAACAAAACCCTCCCCTTCCCACCCTCCCTCCTCAACCCCACCGAAAACGTCCTCCTCATCGTCCACGACGACACAGGCCACGACCAGACAACCGGCGCCCTAAACCCACGCGGCATCCTCGCGGCCCGCCTCCTCTCCAACGACTCCTCGTCCCCCGCGCCGAAATTCACCCGCTGGCGCCTCGCCGGCACCGCAGGCGGGGAATCGAACCTCGATCCCATCCGCGGCGTCTTCAACGAGGACGGCCTCTTCGCAGAACGCATGGGCTGGCACCTCCCCGGCTTCGACGACCGCGCCTGGACGGCCGAGAACTCGACTGCATCCACCTCGGCACTGAGCTTCACCGGCGCAACCGTCCGCTTCTTCCGCACCGTCGTCCCCCTCGATATCCCTGCTGGTCTGGACGTCTCCGTCTCCTTCGTGCTCTCGACCCCATCGAATGCGCCCAAGGGATACCGCGCACAGCTGTTCGTCAATGGGTACCAGTATGGTCGGTACAATCCGCACATCGGCAATCAGGTGGTGTTCCCTGTTCCGCCGGGTATTCTCGATTACCAGGGTGATAACACGATCGGGTTGGCGGTCTGGGCGCAGACGGAAGAGGGGGCGAGTATCCAGGTGGACTGGAAGGTGAATTACGTGGCGGATAGCTCGTTGAGTGTCGCTGGATTTGGGAAAGGCTTGAGGCCGGGTTGGACCGAGGAGCGGTTGAAGTTTGCCTAGTTTGCTAAGCTCTGAAGGGTAAATCATGACTACAGCGGTCGATTATGCGGTGCTATGCAGATTGAGGCTGTTGGCCGTTGAATCATATAATTGAAAATAAATTGTATCCTGGCCGTGTCAAGTCCAAGTCAAGTCATCTCTGATCACGAAGAAAAAAAGCATGTAATCATAAAAATACGTCGTAACTTGAAATATATACACAATGTCTAAACCAAGAAGCGGAAACCTCTGGAACTGGCCTGTCCAGGAACACCGCCATCATTGAGGGCATCACCCCGGTCAAGCTTCTTGTTCAGCCGGACAAGGATGATTCGGAGGAGAGTGGCGGAGAGAATAGCAATAAATGCAGTAACACAGTTGACACTCATGGCGGTGACTATAAAGTGGTCAGAAAGAAATGATCATCAAATGATAGAAAAGTATGAGGACGTACTGAAGCGAGGCGCATCATGGTCAGGGTACATGTAACTGGCGTAGATACTGCTGGCATTGCTGACCATGTTGATGGCAGCCAGTGCGGCGGCACGCTTGGATGCAGGACGAGGAAGGGTGCTCGAGATCCAACCCAGGGCCACGACGTAACCGGCGTACAGGGAGGGGACCATCAGCATCATCGAGAGGTAGCGGGGAGCTACACCGGTGGTGGTCGCGGCGATGATGAATGCGACTACCGAGATGTACAGAGGAGCTGTTATATGGAAGTATTTCTCGCCTGTACGGTCCGAGTGCCAGGCATTGAAGAAGGCGCTGATGACTGCCAGGCAGTAAGGTGGAGCGGTGAGAAGGAGGGTCTCGATCCGGCCGTAATTGAGCGTTTCCACAACAGTTGGGAAGAAGTTAGTCACGGAGGCGGAGGAAACGATACACAAGATGTGTAGCATCTACATGGTAACGCCGCGGTCAGTCATGGCCGTTGCGAAGTAGGAGTAAAGAATAGCGACTTACAAGAATCCAAGTCTTCAAGTCGGTAAAGGCGAGTTTCGCGCCATGAAGGAGCGACTGTTGTTCGGAATCAACCCAGTCGTCTTCGCCGATGTCTTCCTCGAGACGCCATGTAGCGAGTTGCTTTTCCTCTTCCGAAAGCCATGTAGTGGTACGAGGGAAGTTGGGCAGAATCCACATAGCAATGAACGCAACCACTATAGTAATAGCTCCCTCAATGATGAAGAGCCACCGCCTAGAGAAGTCAGCAAGACTGCGCAACTATACTCGATCGTGCAAAAGAAATAGAGAACCATACCAGGCTCGAAGACCCTTAACATGGTCCATACCATCGGTGATACCAGCAGCAATGAGGCCAGAGAAAGCACCGGAGATCAGAGAGCCAGAGTAGAGGGCGGCAGTGCGGAATCCCAGCTCCTTACGAGTGTACCAGGCACTCAGAAAGTAAAGGCAACCAGGCTACAACAACAGTCAGCAAGGGGATCACGGTTATGGTACCATTGTTGTCAGAAAGACGTACGAAATAAGCAGCCTCAACGAAACCAAGGAAGAACCGAGTCACAACCAGTCCAGCAAAGTTCTGAGCAGCAGCCGTGGCCGTAGAGATGATACCCCAAAGAATCATCGCACAGGGCAGGTAGATGGCGGGCTTTCCGAACTTGTTCAACATCAAGTTGGATGGAACTACAACGGTCAGTTTATGGTACAGGCTCAGTCTATTGAGGAGGACACTTACTCTGCATCAGCAAATAACCAACAAACAGAATACTGACGGCAGTTTGGTATTGGTTGCTGTTTTTCTTCATGCCCAGATCCTCTTCAAGACCAGCGAGCCGAGCAGCTGCCTGGAAGGCGTCAGTATTTTCGTGCGAGTAACCCAGAAAACGTGACTTACAATGTTGTTCCGATCCAGATAGTTGAGAATGTACATGATAACAAGCATAGGAAGAAGACGAATATCAATCTTGCGAACGAGAGCCCTTTCGGCTTTCCGGCGCTCCTCTGGACTAAGGCCAGCGACATATGCAGGAGCCTCTTTGCTCGGATTGGGTCTGTCGGCGTTGGCCACGACTTCTACATTGTCGACGTAGCTCTTATCGATCCCGTCCTCGGGATCGTAGGAGTTTCTGGGAGACATGTTTTTTCGGTCAAGTATGTGCAAGAAGTAGAACAGAACAAGGAAGAAGAGGGTATCACAACAGGAAAGAGAAGAAAGGACGATATTTCAGAAGAAGGGGAGGAAGAAGCGACGATAACAGCAGGATGAAGAAGATCAAAAATCAGGATGCCTGCTCCCTTTTGTGGGAGAACCTGGGGCACCACGCGTGGAGCAAACAAGTTTCCCGATTTTTCAACTCCCAATTCCGGGATGACCAACCATACGGAGGACTGAGATGCGGACGGGGTCCGAGTCAATGGGGTCCCCGGAAGGCCAACACGGTTGAGACGGGGATTCTACCAATGGGGAAGCCGGAGGCGGGGAGAACCAGGAGCTGCAGAGCTGGGGGGGAACCGAATAGTAGTAGTGTGGATTGCAATTCAAAACCGAGGAACAGAGCCGTGGGATGAAGAGAAATGTCGGTACGTAGCGTTTAGCTCAACCGGATGAAACTGTAGTAGCTGGTCAACACCATAGATTTTGCCATCCTGCGGGGAAGAGGGAAGGGGATATGTGGAGTTACAGGGACTGGAGATGAAGTATTGGACCATTTGGACATGCTCGGAGACAGTTAGCGTCATGCAATCGAAGCATGACTGGGTGCTGAGCTCTTTTCTCGACAAAATGATTCCACTCCGCGTGGGGGTTGCCGCGTGGGAGACTCGTGGGGGTCATCGGGTCTAGTGGGCAAAAGGAGCCGAAAGAGTTATCATCTGCGTGAAAGAGGCAGAAAAGGGGGAAGAATAGATGAGGTAGTTTGCTCATCTTAGTAGGTAGTATAGTCTATATTTTACTGAAATGCAGATGGTGAATTGATGGGATGAACGCAGAGAGTCAAGGTAAGTGAGAGAGTTGGAGCATGGGGTGGGATGGAGCGTTAGGTAAGCGTAAGTCGGCTAACCCGACAAGCCCAAACACCGCACGGGCCGAAAGACACATGGGATGATGGGAGATCCCTTCCCCCCTTGGCCACACACTTAGTTCATTCTCCTCGTTGACAGGTGACACCACACAGAATCCATCCGGAGAACTCATTAACCCTTCGTCATACTTCTACTGGTTTAATATCCCTCCCTCGCTCGTTGTTGTAGCCTTAAAAATAATGATTCCGGTTAATTTTCGGGAACTCGGGATTCAGCCAAGCCTTCTCTGTTCCATCCCGTAGCCAAGGAACCTGCCCAGACAAAGTAAACTATCGCTGCTCCGATACGACGCAGAGCTCCTTCTTGAAGACACCTTTGAGAGAATTGATCATCATTTCCGTGTGTCTCCTGCTCAAGTCTTCAATCAGGCGCGCTTGACAAGGGAAATTCTGTGCTTCCTACTCGCGGGACATCTGCGGATACCTGCTGTTACTTTACAGTATAGACACCGAGAGAACATCTTGAGCATGGAAAGTCCATGCAGCTGTTATGGCTAGAGATTGATTCACGGGGATGATCTATTGAGCTCATGGACCCGAGGCAAAAAGATCTCAGTGCCAACTGCTTGGTCCCAATGCTTCGTGATGACCAGATCGCCAAATGGACTACAACGCAGCCTTTGCCCCTTAGGGGATTCTGTCCATCATGTGAACGCTAACCAGAAGGTTTGATTCTCGTTGTCCAGAATCATCTGCGGCGGCCTTAGTAAGAGCTGCCAGCATCTAACACTTTCTCTTCAAGAGAAGACGGGCACAAGATTGGCAGTGCCAATGTACGTGCTTTCACGAAGGCCCTCATATGATGAACCTGAAGTTGATATCCTTTCTGGGGCTAGGTCGAACAGTAATGAACGCCTATCGCAAGTCTCGAGCCATAAGCCAACATCAATTCAGTTCAGTAATTCGATGCCGAGCTTCTCAAAAAAACAACCTTGTCTTCCGAATGCCGATATACCATGTCCGAGGCCATAACCTGGTAAACAATTTAGAACGGACAGCAGTGCCAAGTCTCCCCAAGTCATCAGTCAACAATGGTTATCGATGAGTTCTGGAGTGCACCCGCGTGACCGTCCCAGCGATTATGCCCAGTGAACAGGATTGAAGTTCAATCTGAGACTTAAAGCCAGGTAAGTAAACCGACAGATATGAAAAGATCATGCTCAAATCGGCAGAGGCCATAAATTCTATCCCTGCCGCAGGGTGATACTCCCTCCGATATTCAGCTCACTCACATCCCTAGTAGTGCATCCGACGACAATGCACTGCAGAGCCCGAGAGCGTCATCACCTTCACATCACCCTAGAGCCCAATGATCAACGGCCCCCAAACATATATCAACGTATACGGTCAAGAATCCAAGACTATGGGTAGCACGCAAACAATTGAACGCTAGAGAAGGCATACCCAGACGCCAGAATCAGAACACAGCATTTGCGTAATACGCTCATCTAGACAAGGATCAAGGTGTTTATATCTGCCTCAATTTTAGATAGCTATATAGATAGCACAATCCGCGAAACTAGCCAGGGAGTCAATGGTCTGACTACACATAATAGATGACGCTACAGAAATCTGTGAGTGGTGGCTCGGGGACTTGCTTGTCATGAAGAGCTGCTTGATTTTATCAGAAGAGCTTCATGAATTGCCAGAAATGCCAGACGTGATTTCGGCCTCGCAAGACAAACTACGCATAGATAGGGTCGACTGTAACAGCAGTGATATATCGCGCAGGCTTGGGGCTTCTGCTCACAGCCTTCCGCAGCCGTGATGCGAAGTACGTTGACCACCTAGCAAGCTCAAATAGCTTGCTGTACGACAAATTACTTGTTATTGCCCTCTGAAGCATCGCTCAAATGAATCATATTGAGATCTTGGCACTATCGCTTCGCATGGCGATTAAGGTCCTCTCTTCTTCCGTGTACTCGAAAGGCGGAAAGATTAGAGAAAAGAAAACAACGACATCATGATGCAGGAAAA